GTGCTGTCTTAACCGCTCGGCCACTTCCACTCGGATTTAGAAGTCTCAATCTGTGCCCTTTTTCCCCCTCCCCTTGATAACAGCGCAGCTCCTGTGCGATGAGGACAGCCCCGCAGACGTCAGGCCTTGCGTGCTGCCCGCCCAGGCCCCTTGCTGCTTCCTCACGGAGCTCAGGTTTCCCCTTCCCGCTCCAGTGACACTGCCTGTCCCAACAGGTGCCTGCAGAGCTGCGGACGCACGCCAGGGTCACCACCTCCGCTGCGGTGGGTTGAACGGCCGGCACGGAGCGGGGCAGCAGGTGGACATGCTAACATAGGGACCAGGTACCTGGCTAGCCCCCAGCCCCCTGCCCAGCCGCCGTGTCCCAGCACAGCACGCACCCCACCATGGACCCGGTCCCGGAGATGAAGAGGTATGTGGATTTTGGAAGGGAGTGAGGGTGCAAGTTTCCCCACCGTCCAGCTTGGGTGGCAGAGCCAGCCCCTGCTGTCCCTGTGTCACAGATGGATGTGTGCAAGATGGGAGTAACAGCAGATGTGTCCATGTCCTAGGAGGGATGGAGTCTAAACCAGCCGTTGTGAGGAGACGTTTAGTCCCTTAGCAGCCTAAGTTTAGGTGTAATGGTGAGTTATGAAGATGTTCTTGCAATCTGTGTTGCTAGAAACATCTTGAATGTAATCACTTTTTCAACTTAAAGGTGCTGCATCTTTTAAAAAGACACTGTGAATTCCCTCATTGCCCTGCGCTCCTACACTCCATAAGGCAACCTGCTCAGTTTGTGAAGGGCAAGAGGTTTAACCTTGCTAACAGTGAGCTCTGACTTAGCAAGGAGCCATTTGCCCATGAGCATCCCTCTCCCTGGCAGTCACTGCTTAAGTCCTGCTATTGGGTATCAGGGTCCTGGGGTGGGCAGCTAGATTTTAAGCCAAATTTTAGAGGAAGTCCATTTGTTCCTAGCAATAATTAAGCCTGTTTTGCCTTCCCAGCAACAAGTTTTAATCAATCTTAGAAATCCTGTCTGGGGAGAAATGGCAAAAGTTTTGGTGGAAGAGTTATCTTGGCA